CGGAGCTCTCGGCGGAGCCAGCACGGCACAGGCACGGGGGAGCCTGACTTCCTGACACTCTCCAATCAAAGGTGTGACTCTGCGCTCCCGCCTATTGTACGCGTAGAAAAAGTCAGAGCAAGTTATTTATTTATGTTTATTCCATCTCTGGAATTAGTACTGGCTGAAGGGAACACCGCCAAACAGGCGAGCCGGGAAATGGGCCATGAAAAGACAGAAAGAGAAATGCCTGCTTTTTCTCATGCGCTTTTACATCAGTGTAAACCACTGAAAACACTGTAGTTTGAGCTTCCTGATGTCCTCTGTCTGCCCATCAGGCAGAACAGCCTACAGATCAGAAGGCTGTGGGGGCAAGTCCTCTGTCACACTGCACACCAGTGAGAGAGGGCTTGCAGGGTCCAAGCTTCATCTGCATGTCTGCAAGAAGATGGAGGAATCGAAAATACAGCTCATTTTTGAGTGAGATAAAACAGATATACCCTCAGCTTGCCAGCCCCTCTCCCTGTGTAATGAACAGAGAGCCACTGTGGAAAGCACAACGTCATCTGCATCTTCTGCACCATAGGAGAGCAGGTTCTAAGGTGATATTTGCATTGGCAAGCCTGGAGGAAGTTAGGAAATGGGAAACCCATGAAAATTTGCTCTTCTGTGTTACATGGAAGATGGTCTTTAGGCTGGGCTTCCTAGAAAATGGTGCAGTGTGCCCACAGGAATGCTCCAAAATATTTGCCAGCTCTGAAGTAAGGCTGGTGGAGAACCTTGTGCTTGGAAAACAGGGCAAAACTGTGTCATCTGTTGCTTTCAGTGAAAAGTGCTGCATTACAACCTGAAGAAGCCTGGAATGACATGGCTGAAAAAAATGAATTGTCCGACTGTGTCTCACTATAGAAGCAATGCAGACAATTGGAGAACTCTGTTTACTTATTTACCTGTTTACCTGGGGAAGCATAGAAACCTGTGGTAGTTGACAGCCACCCCACTCTACCACATGCTGATGTACCTGCAGAGCTTCCCTGTGCATGGATGTTTTCCACTCTGAATTTTCAAAGCATATCTCTCTGCATCAGGACAGTGGAGGTCTCCCAACATTTAATGCACAATCTCAGGGCTTTGAATACCTCCCCCTGTTTTGCGTCAGCCTACCTCTTCCCTTGGGATCTGCCTTTACACTGTGATTCTCAGCCTTGGCCTCTGCCTGAGCTGCACTGCAGCTGTCTTACAGCCATGGGTGTGCCTAGCCATGCACCCGACCCTCTGAATGACTTTCTGGCTTGCTCTTGGACCTGCCATGTCATTGTGGATCTATCTGGTAATCTGGTCTCTTGGCTGACCCTAGCCACCATCACTGGACCTGCTGTGTTAAGCTAGCTCAGGTAATGCAGGATTGCACTCTTGTACAAGAGCGTTCTGTCTTTGCCTGCCTTTTTATCAATACTTGGCTCCTGGCTCACTTTCCCTGACACAGTGCTTCAAAGGTATGTCATCCAGATGTGCAGGCACCTGATGCTTTTCAAAGACCACTGTGAGAGCCAGTCTGGTCTCTGGTTTCCCAGATAATGTTACAGAATTTGGGGAAGTTTCTGGAGCACCTGAAAAGCACTGCTTAGGCCAGTTGCTCCTTTGATCAGAGCAGATGGTATTGTGCTGAGATAGGCGCTGCATTTAGGGTATGTTAGGAAAATGTTTCCCACTCTTGCAGAGGTATACCCACCTATATATGACACAAAGGTACCTGTTTTTCAGATAGTGGATTCAACTCATGTGAAAGTTGCAGCCTCAGCACTGTAAACAACACCAGGGTGGGTGGGATAAGGCAAGTTCAATGGACAGTTATTCTCCTTTACAAGCAGCACAGGGCAGAGTGGGGAAACGAAAACATGGCTTCACCCAACAGATCACGATGCACTTTCCAAGCACAATTACTGCAGTTACAGGAACGCAATTTGAAGCTACTTACTCAATGTGGCAAACCCATGCTGTGTCTCATTGCACTGGTTACTGCAGAAACCTGCTTTGCCTTTATGTAACTGGTCTTCTGTCCTTTTGAGGTGACAACCACTCTTTATGTCTTGCCCCCAGTTGCAGCTATGGGAGAGGGCCTGCTTGCCTCACTGAGCTCTCCCATGGTGGAACATGTTAGGTCTTCCCCTGCCTCTCTCCGCAGTCTATTTTTAGCTGTAGGCCTGTTGCACTGCAGGAGCAGCTAAAGCTGCTTACCTAGTGCAGCAAGAGCTCAAGTATTGCTGTGTGCAGCAACCCTGAGCTAGCTCCGCCCTGTTTTCACCTGTTCCCCAGTGGACGACTGAAGGACAGAGAGGCTTTCAGAAGCCCCTGCAACCTTCTCTATCACACGGCAAGGCTCAGGGCAGGACATCCCAGGAGGGAATGGGCAGATGCACCTGGAATATTCCCTGACTTCCCATCTCAACAGGGTGTGTAACCAGTGCAGCATACCCACTTAATTTACAGGGTTAATTAGGTTACAGGGGAGATCAACCCAAAGGGGTGTGTGATTGGGCATTGGACTGTCCCCAGTTCATTCTTCAGGGGACATGAAGATGGAAAACTGAGGCGCCTGGCCTCCCCTGCAGACTGTTTTGGAATAAAGGGCAGAACCTTTCATACTATCCACAATCAGCCTTTGCTCCATGCAGTCCTGAGCACAAGCCAGTGCCCTTCAGCTCTAACAATACCCATATGAGCTTGAAACATTCTGCATTTACTCCCATTACCCCCAAACTGCAGGGCTGCCTGCATTCACTTTCCAGCTCTGGGGCCTTGGCATCTTCTGCCTCAGGTGGCACTGCCAGCAGTGCTCACCCCACTTTGCAACAGCCCTGGTTCCAGGCAGAAAAGAGAGCTTATCAATCTTTCCAAGAAAATTCAGGCTGCAAGGATGCCCTCTGTTCTGTGACAAGATCCCCATCGTAGAGGCTCATAGATCCCTCAGCTAGGTTTTGTTCTTCAAGGTATTTCAAAGAAATGGACTAATTCATACAGCTGTAGTCACATGAAGCTTCACCTGGATGCAGCACGTGCTTTGTGCCCGATACCAATTTAGAGTTGCAGAGCAGCCCTGGAGACGACAGGCGTGTGTTTACAGGCAGTAATGAGCTAAAATACTTCATCGGCCTTATCAGTGTATTTAACTGACATGAACGCTTACACATTGCGAGACTTTTCTTCTCATCTGTATCAGGATTCCTGGAGCCTCTCTGGGATTAACTCCAAGCATGTTTTCTCAGCTCTGACGCTGGGTATGCCAAAGCCAGATACAGTTTACTCCAGTGAGAGTTGCCGGCAGGCCCTTTACTGTATTGCTTTACCATTCCCCATCAAGACTGCTTTTAATGAGGGGCTCTGAGCCCAGCGCCAAACGCAGAGGGCACCGGGACACTCCTCACGCGGACCCACACGCGCAGACAAAGCCCCCTCCTTATCGCCACTGCCATCACCACTA